ACTAAAATAAATGCAGGCATCGAGTACGATAGATATGTGAGAGCTGTTTTACTTGATTTTAACAAGGCATTTGATAATGTTTCTCATGAAGGATTATTATATAAAATGGAAAGAAAGGGTGTTACAGAAACTTCCGGAAAATGTATACCTTAATATTTTTAACTAGAACTTGTCAATGTTTTTACCAAAGTTTTTAAGTTATATACCATTCGATAGAGTATTCAAAGCTGAAGAAATTAGAATAGTTGAATATCTTTGCGTTGCTATAGATCTTTTTTTGACAGTAGTGAGATCATTCTAATGACTTTAATTTCTTATTGATGGAAGAAAATAGAATATTCTTGACATAAAAAAGATCTTTTCAGCTGTCTATTAATAGTTTGGTTTTGTACATATGAAAATGCGTATTAACGTCAAAATACTGAAGTATACAGTTTTTAGAAGGTTATCGGACACGAGAAAAGCTTTTATAATTTTACAAGAAAGAGATGCAGAAGTACTTAACTTTTCAAAAATAAAAAATACAAACAAGTTCATCCACGGTCACCCTGTACAGATATTGGTGAAAAAAGACTGAAGGATGCCGCAGGATAGTCAAGGGAGACAAAATCCTTTTTCTTTCAACCAATAAAATCCCGCCAGATATCGTAGGAAAAAATTTGTGGATTGAATAAGTCAAAAAGTCTTGCGATCTTTCTTACCTTTACGCAGGCTTTTTTCCATGCTAACTCTACATAACCTATGCAGGGTTCTATCAGAGCTGGCAGTATATAAATCCTGCATAAAGGTAAGAGATATCGCCAGATATTTTAATACCGACAACCCGTGAGAATCCTGCGCAAAGTCCTGCATGAATTTTGATTATTTTTTTCCAATGAGTAGATAAACGCGTCTATTACTACACATTGAAACCAAATGAATCTTAAGACTTCATCGATGAAAATAAATTGAATAATATTGATTAGTAATAATCCTACAATTATTCCTAATAAAAAACATTAGAATTCAGTAATAAAGAACAAGAACAGTTTTAACCATTCAATCAATATGTTCTCTGAATTTTTGATTTGTTGTTAAGATCATGTTCAGCAAAGAATGAACAGAATACAAGCATAGTGTCAGATTTTTGAACTATCATAATTAGTATTTCGATCCGAAACAAAAAAAGGTTTTTTTTGTTGTATATTTGAGATCTATTTGATGGTTACATAATATTAGGCCAAATAACATTTTTTTATCTACGAGTATCATTCATTCATTCATTCATTCTTTCTGTATTTGTTAATGGTTTTATTCTTTTTTTTTTTGTTAAATAAAATCATGTTTGTATTTAGTTATTCGTAAAAGGAAAAAATAAAAGGCGTTTATTAAACTGCATACTTTTGTTGTATTATGTTGATATCGAAACATTAGCGGACATACAGATTATAACTAACGATTCTATATTCATCTGATTATGTATGTTATGCAATTGTTCAAATATTGTAATCACTTACATTTCTACACCTTCAATATCAATAACAAAAAAAAATCATCCTGACTCGTCATCTGATTCTTCAATTTTAAAAGTTATTTCTAAATATTTTATAAAATGAAAAAGGTTGAAAGAAAAATATTAGAAATTGTTTAGAGAATTGAAGTGTAGAAGATAGCCGAAATATGGGAAGTTCAGGACCAAATATTGGTGAGTATACGATACTTTTTGAACTACCGGATTCTTTAAGAGTGTTAATCCGCTATTTTGTTCAATGAATTATTTTCGTTCAAATGTCAAAAAAAGTAGCTTGAGTAAAATTAGTTCGAGAAAGTGAAAACTCATCAGACTGATGTATCTTTAACTTGCGATCCTATACAGCGAAAATTAAAACGTCTACTTTTTCGATTCAATGAATATACGGACTTAATACTTCTTTAACTTTCGGAACGTTTTCAGAACATGCTGTCATGTAATTGACAGACACTCATGCCGACAGAAAAATTGATAGAAGGATCGCCGTATATTTCATAAAATATTAGAAATTTGCCACTATCTATTTTTAGACGCATAAAGACACAAGACAAACTCCTATTCAACTAGAGCATCATTCTACGCTGCCTAATAGCATGGCGTAAACATATTTATATATAAACAATGTCTTACAATTAAAATCTTCGGGCCTCCAAAGTATCCCGACGTCAAGTATTTGAGACTTTTCGAGAGATCGAAAATATTTTTGATCCCTTCGAAAGTTCAGTCGAATCTCTCAATTTACTCATTGCAAGTCTGACTGAGCATCGTCTGTTTTCATTTTTTTTGAACAATGTGCGATGATCGAGATATTCATTTAAATCAAAATTCAATTGACTTTACGTGGTTAAAAAAAAGTGCATGATATGAGCACATCATTTCCATCTAATCATGTCTGAAAGTAGTTCTTGTGGTTAATAATAAAACCAAAACTTTGAGAAAGTGTTTAGAAATAGTAGAAATATCATATTTCTGAGATCATGTTAATTAGATTAGTCCGAAAGAAAGAATGTTCGGTAGCAGACTAACCAATGTATTTCAGATTCTATCAAGTTTAATTGTATTTCTGTTTCTTTAGTTGCATTGAATTCATCAAAAGTCTCACCCAATATGCAAACATTTGATGAAAATAAAACGTTTCACCATATTTGGTGGAAAATAGCACTTATCATATTGGCATTTATCTCATTTATTATCACTTGTGTATTCAATGGCTTAGCATCAACTGCTCCAAATGGTAAGTCACATTATTTACACAGTTCACTTCTTGTTGTAAATTTATTGATTTTTTTCAGGTATCTTCTCTCAGAGAACGGGAAATGTGTCAGACAATAATCGAACAGAATTTACACCTGCCGGATGGACATTTAGTATATGGGGTCTAATTTATTTTTGGCAAGCTGCTTGGCTGTTATATGCCATTAGTCGTATTCTACGTAAATCAAATATTGACTATTTATATAAATATCCAAATACTTTACATTATACGATATTTATTTTCTATATAATTAATATGTCTCTCAATTGTCTATGGCTTGTACTGTGGGATAGATTGGAATTTGGGGTATGTATCGCATAACGTTTCAAGTATTTGTTTGACATTCTATTTTCATCTTTCTTTTTTATTTTAAAAGTGGGCATTACTCGTCATATTTCTAATGTTTGTCACTATTGCAATTCCAATGATCATTACTCATATTCTATTAGAGAAAAATCGTAACGCTTATATTGAATCAAGACAGTAAGTTGTTTATGTGAAATGATGATAAAAAAGATTATTTGTTTATATAATAATTTATTATTATTTTAGAATAATTGATATTTGGTTGATACGACTACTAGTTCATAATGGTTTAGCTATTTATGCTACATGGTTGTTTTTGGCAATGAATTTAAATTTAACGATTTGGATTAAGGCTATGGGAAAAAACGCCACAGATGCAGCAACAGCAGCATTGAGTGTTGTACTACTGGGAATAATTATTTATTTCGTATGTGAAAATATCATATTTTATAATTCAATGGCTTATACATGGATACCATGGTTTGTTCTTATATTTGCATTATCTGGAATTATGTCTCTTAATTATAAAACACCAAGAAATCCAACACGAAACCAATCATATGTACTAGCATTATTGATTATCTGTTGTATTCTATTTGTTCTTCGAGTCATTCTATTTTTTATTCGATACTTCAAAAAAAAGATACCCACATTCAAAAATCCCTAATATATCGACAATTATTAAGTTATGAATAAAGTGTATGAAAATGATTAAAAATTATTTAAATTGACGTTAGATAATTTTTATTAGAACTATTTAAATGTTGTATATTCTTTTTGACATCATATATTTTCACAGAATCGATTGAATTTAGAACAAACTCAACGTGACAATAAAATTTTTATTCACACAATTCAACATCATTATATTACTTTGAACTAACTTACTATGAACAATTGTCCATCGTGACACTGAATTAATAAAACAATAAAGAATTAGTTTCTCTTTGTTTTGTTTTTCTACTATTATGTAAATTATTATTTGAAAAAATTAGATAATATTATTTATGTCAAACTTTTAAAAACTTATTATTTCTTGTTAAATTTGTTTTCTAAATCTAAATTATTGTACAGAAGTTAATAAAAATTTCAAATCTCATTTATTTCTACATGTTCTCATATTTACTGCAAAATGTTTCAAAAGTCACTATCGGTTAAAAAGTTTGAAGATCTCTGCCAGTTTTTTAATCGAATCAGTTCACTATCGTTTTTTATCTGAAATAGAAATATGCCCTCATATTATTTAGACATATATTTTTTCTTACATCTACAATTCATTCATTTATCAAGACACTAAGCATTTTTCCAAAGTTTCATAATTTTTCTCATAGAAATTTAAATTTCAACATATTTAAACTAAATTTTAAACACAAATTAAGTTCTTTATTCATAGTGAGAATATATGCATTTAAATTTAAAAATTTCCGATAATGATGACAGCTACAGAAAAGACTTTTATAAAAATTAAATTTTTAATTTGCGAACACTAATGTAATGAAGGAGATCAGTTGTCAAGAATTAGATAATGTTTTAACAACATTTTTTAATATAAAACTACTGGGTTTTCAACAGTTTTTATAGATTTTAGATAGTTTTATTTCGATAAACTTTCAATATTTTTTTATATAATGAAATAAAACGTGTGTTATGATATAGATATTTTGTTTTGTTAAGTGATTTTACAAATAAAAATTGAACATTTTTTGATTAACTAAAAAAAGTGAGCCATCTCAATTAAGAGTTGATGCTGATATTCAAAATTTTTATTTGGAGAAGATTTTCAAAACATGCATAACTGTGCGTAAAGAGATTAAAATTTGCAAATAGAAAACAGACATCTCTCACTCTTTCTTTCCTTCTGTAATCAATTCTTTTTTTACCAAGAATACTCTCAATTTACTATGAAACACATTCTTTTACAACTAAGAATCAATATATCAATTAATCTTTATTTAGAAAGGGGATAATATTAAGGAAAAAAATGTCCACCTTTAACTATTGTCACTTCGTTCTAATCAATTCGACATCATAAAAACAAGAAAATTCAAAAACACATTTTGACAGTGTTAAGTCATCATTATATCGTCAACGCAACCATTACATATCAACACTCTCAGTGACTTTAGGCGATGTTAATGTACCACAAGAGTGGCAAGTTGATAATGTTGGCAATCAATTTCTACGTTTTACAAGTCCAATGTCAAATAAGATTTTAGTTTTTGTAACGGACCGTGGTTTGAATGAATTAGCTTCATGCGACCATTGGAATGTTGAAGATATAAATTGTATGAAAGGTGGGTAGGTCAAATTGAACTTTGCCTTACATAATGAAGTATTTCAATATTTGCGTTATGTGATACTATTTAATGTATCTAGGTGAACTTTATTTATTTTTTTGTCTTTCATCCTATGAGGGAAGGTAATGAATCGCTTTTTTTGTATAAAAGACAGATGTATATGTAACTGATACTGTTGATTGTGAATATGAGGATAAAAGTTGCCTAATCATTTTCACGATTCAAGAAAACTTTTTCTGGTGCTGTTTAATTTTTTCTCATTCTTCTGTGATTTTAGAATATTCTTAGAACATGTTTGATAGCCAAAAAATGTATAGACATAGGTGACTTGATGTACTCTACTAAATGGATAGTTCAGAATCCGCTTTGAGCGAAAAACTTTTTACTCTTCACAGTGTAATTGTTCAGAAATCGATTTTTGGAAATCCAAACACAATCTCTACCATCATATTCGGAATTAGTATCATGAATTACATATGTCTCTATGCCTTTTATGTCAAAAAAGCGATTTATCACTTGGCTCCCTTCCCTCGTGAGTTTATTACTTTGCTCTCACAGATACATCATTAAAGTAATGATAGAAATATATCCGATCGGTGTGACAAACACACTACGAGTTGTCTCTATAATTTCTACAAGTCTTCGAATGTCAAAAAACGATTACGTAGATGTTCTTAGAAACTTAACTGAAAGCGATGAGTGAAAAAAGACTATTGTAATTACTCTTTTGTATTGAGTTTTGATCAAAGAAATAGGTCACCTATATGTATAGTAGCATAAAATTGTAATTTTCATTCAAAATTCTATCCATAAACTTCATCAAAAACATAGATCTCTAACAAAAGTATTCATACTATGAGCACACAACAGTCAAATGTTTTTGTATCCATAATGAATCTTCGTACAAACGAAGACTATTGGGTTTTCATACTATATGCGTACGAAAGGAAATATCAATTACTCAAAAATACTTCAGATAAGAGTTCATGTATTTTTCAATCAACATTTTGCTCTTGCGCATACATATACTATACAATCACCAAATAATACAAAAAAATTCATCAAATTATTCTGCAAAATAGCATCGAGAACTCTGTTAAGGTAAACAGCATAGAGTTGCTTGAGCAAGTGTAACACTGTGATGTTTTTTTCCTCACTGCTTTCACTTTTCTCTCAAACTAAAGTATTTAGAAATTTGATTATCTTGGAACTAGAAGATGAATTTTTACACTGCTGAAAAGAAATCTAATTTGACAAATAAACACATGAAAAGAAACTGATTATTTTACATTGTATGTATTTTAGACAGTCCCCTGTAGTGAAAAACAGAGTCGATCTCTATGAACCGAAAGAAAAATTTTAAAATAGCATTTGAAACATCGAAAAATTTCTCAGAAGTCAGCAGATTGACAAAAAGAAGTTTGATCTACAAAATGTTGTTTCAGATATCTCGTATTTAAAAACAAAATAGTGCAATTTGTAGAGAATTTAATTCTCTATTGAATGACATGACTTTTAACTTTTTGATGGAGACTAAGTGAATCAGCACACTAAAAATTTAAATTTAATTATTGAATACTTTATTTTCAAAGAACAGGAAGAAGAGACAAAGAAACTTTATTTTCGTAAATTTTTAAGCTATTATTCGTAACTAGCGTAAAAAACTGCGTCTGGTTACGCACTTGTTAGATAAAATGAAGAAAAAATTCTTCAGAAAGAATATCAACATTGATGAATACCACCGCTACGAGCCAAGAACAGTGCCACATACATGATGAACCTTCACAGAAGTATTCATCAACATCGATCCTGTCGTATTCTTCCTCGAAAAATAGGTATTTATCAGTCAAAAAGCATTTTTTGCTTGTACTTTTTACTAGCAAACAAAATATGCCGATAGACCTTAAAACTTCGAGAAACATTAGTCACGCTAAATAAACTCTCGATGATATTTCTAAAATATAAAGACGAAAGTATATGTATTAATATTTAATTAACAAATTTATTTCTACAATGAAACACATACAATAAAACACGTTCAATTTTAACTTTCAAACGGCTGAACATTACACAAGCAGCGAAGAAAAGAAAACTGTTGTTTGTCATGGATTAAAGTTTAGGTAGATTATACAAGTGGAGATTAAGAGTAAGTTAAATAGAGATAAAAATTGTATATAAATAGTCTGAAATAGCGGTAAAAAATATAATAAAAATTAAAACAAATAGTTTGAGATTTTTCTAATTAATCAATGAATCATTGTTATTTTCGTTGTTGTTTATTTATAGTATCGTTCGATCATATTGTTCAGCCATAGCAATTTTATCACGACGTTGTTTTAATTTTAGTTTTAATGTTTTACTACTCGTACCGTCGGAAAATGAAAAATCATCTAAATCAAAGATAATTATGTAAATAAACGAGATGAGTATGGTCATTATAACTTACCATCAGCATCATTACTTGTACTTGATGCTTTCAAACTCGATTGTAATGAGCTTAATCCAGTTTCTCCCATTAAACGTTGGCGGTCTAATACTTTGGAAGGTTCGCCAGTTGTATTATCTCGAAACTACACAAAATAGAATACAAAAATAAATTTTATGTTGTATTTTTAAATTGGGAACAGTAACATACTCCAGACATATTCTTTTGATGTAAAATTAATGCATACAATCTTCCAGATTCTTTCTGATTTGTTAATTTTTCTAAATTTTGTTTTGATAAATGAAAAAGAGCGGAACCATCATAGCCATATAAATTATGCATAAGACTTAAAATTTAAAACAACAACCTATTTTAAACAACAAAGATCAAAAGACAAGATTATACTTTTCGGATAGATTTTTATCTTTTAACCATCGTTGTACATCTGCATCGGATGAATATTGATTTAGATGTAGATTCGAATGTTCACTTCGATCAGTTATTCGTTGTAATAGTTCTTTGTGTAATTCATCGACTACATGTGATTTCGCTAAGAAAACAAGAAAGAGATTAAGTGAAATACAATGTTGTTATAAGACAGTATTTACATGTTGTCGTTCGACCTCTATCTTGCCATGTCGTATTACCACCAGTACCAATTGTATGTGATAGTGTTGACGTTGGTGAATGCATAAGAAAATTTGTTGGAAATGGTGGAGGTATAGGTGGTTGATTATAATGATTATTCGAGGTAATCGACGTTATGGTAGCGTTATCTGTTTGCATAATCAAATTACTGCTCGATGGTGAACGATGAAGATATTGAGAATATTTTGCTTGATCATCTGGATCATTTATAACAGATTGACGATTGTCTAGCCAATTGGTTGAATAGAATTCTTCCACACTGCGTGAACGAGACGGTATCGGGGTTCGATTCTGAGCAAATAATGGTGTTGGTGGTTGTATAGGGAAAGCTGAACAACAAAAAATACAGTTCCATTGCAATCTGATGACCTTCCCAATCGTTGATTATCACTTAAATCGAAATTTTTATTTAAAAAAGTACGTTAAATACATGCACGAAAGGAGCACTACCTAGATCAGTTTACAGTTATGTGGATCTATATGATATACAATAAAAAGTTTAGCGTTCATTAAAACTACTGTTTTAAATTAACAGATGTGATGAATTAAGTCATCTAGTCAATCTTTTTACTGTATAATCTCTGTTAATCGTCTTGCTTTTCGTTGAAAATTAATGTGTCATTGTACTATCAAGTGACGTTATGCTTACGAAAATAATTTCAAAATTGATTCTGGCGATTTTTTCTTCTCTTCGATACTTCAAAATTGGTATTTTATTCTTTTCTTTACAAATATTAGAAACTAAAGTACATGTCAATGTCGCGGATATTATAGAGTAAATGAAGATCTTTTACTTTTAAATTAACTCTAACAGTCTTCATGAGATGTTTTTCACTTATTAATTATGAATTAGCCACCTGAAGAGTAGAAGCAACAAGTATATGGATTGTTTAGTGTTAATATGTGAGAAGGTACATATAAAATGTGAAAAGCAAAGATTTTTGACTGTCTCCGTTGAACGTGTGCGATCCAATATCAGTTCGTCATTGTAACATGTTTATTTTGAACAACATAAAGTAAAATAACACACAAGAAAGAAAAACATCTGCTCTCAATATAGATTAAATAAATATGTATATATAATTCTAATTATATTTTTCGACACAGATACATATTCGAATAGAAGAACAGAAAAAAAATGGAACGAGAAAAAAATAACAACAAAATTCAAAAAAAACTTTCTGCATAAAAATAATAATTCAACAAACATTTTTATAAATTCATGTACAGAATGAGAGAGAATAACAAACCTGTTAAAAAAACATGTCAAATGACAAACAAAAAAAAATGTTCTAGAAGCTTCCCAAAAAGTTTCTACAGAAAATTTGCATGTGTGTGTGTATGTGTGTGTGTATGTGTCAATTATAAAATAAATTAATGATATGAAACTTGAACCCGATCATGATCGCACACGTTCACTTCTTTAACAGACCCATCTTATCGTGCATTAATAACAACAAAAAATGACAACAGCAAACACGCACATACACACACACACACACACACACACAAACACACACACACACACACACACACACACACACACACACATAACACACTCAAGCACATGCAAAAAGGTTACTATTCACGATACAACTAGAAGCTTCTTATCTCTAGTAAGCAAAGAGATTTGACAACCGTTGGTTGATCCGGATACAGATGCACACACACCTACTGTTTATATACGCAACAAACAAGAGAGAAATAAAAAAACATTGCATTTATTATAAGGGTTTTTTTTTTCTAGGAAAAGGGCCTTTGATCAACAGTGATAAAAAGAAAAACTGTTTAAGCGTAGGAGAGAAGAGAAAAGAAAATCTAAAAATATTCTGAGTCGGTCGCTCATTCTAAAGCTTGATACTGTTCTAAAAATGAGAACGATTGCTAGTAGAATAAATTAAGTGAACTGTACGGAATTTCCACTAGGATAAAACACTTTTCTTTTTTTGACAACAGAGTTCACAGTATATAGAGTGGATTTTGATGTCTATTTATGAAGTACATAGAAAAGAATATACACTAAATCTGTGATTAATTAGTCAGAAGATGAAAAGGATCTCATCTGAAGAAGCAAAAGATTAAGAGAGATAACAATAAATAAAAAGACGATAAAAAAAGAACTAACATTTTTCTAATTATTATTTAAACGACTATTTATATTTGTTAAAGGATGATTTAGATCTGTACCTGGTGATGATGATGATGGATTATTAGACAGTGAAGGTATCTAAAACGACAAAGCATTGTATAGGATATGACACAAATATTCATGTTTGCTCCTATACCATTCGTGATTCTTTGGTGAAAAATCCGTTTGAGGCATGTGAAAGTATTCGACAATACCCTTCTCTCTCACATACACACACACTCTCACACACTCACACACACACACATACACAGTCACATACACTTCTAGTCTCAATTTTTTACTTTTTTTCCATAGAGCTGTTTTGTTTGACTAATGTGCACAATGTACTTAAAACAATACTGATTTTTTTACGGCGTTCAGAATTAACTTACGAAGGATCTTGGTTCACCGTCTGTTGGTGTTAATAGATTATGCGGTACATGTCCAACTTCCTGATGAAAATTTTTTACACGCCACCATTTTTTACTATTATCTTCAACTTC